TTGGGGGCGGGAGTACAGGCTCCGTTTTCCGGCACCCCCCTAACATTCTCTGCATGTATTTCACATAGGCCCATGAAGGCAGAAGGGATTCGAACCCCTGTTCATCTAAATCTTTTTGAAATAATCCTTTTGGTGCCTTGCTTGAGTGCGATGTGAGCATGCACTCCTGGAGCAGGCTGTGAACCGACACCATTTTCTCACCGCCTGCCGGTATCTAGCAGGAGGAGCGATCATGAGAGTTTCTTATTGCCTTCCCTTTGGATTCTGGATGAGGTGTGATGTCGTTCTGCGTGACCTACTTTGGGTTACGGCCTTTGCAGGGCTGGTAAAAATGCTTTTAGCTGGCATTTATCATGTTTTTTGGTGGGTTGGCCAACCCATTCCACCAGGCCTCATTTTGTTAGTTATTCTTTGAACAGGATTACCCGAGGGGGGGGGATACATGTTAGTTTGGCTATAAGTCACCCTTACTGTGTAATAGTAATCGACTCAAAGCTTATTCTTTCCTGGCCTAACTGTAACGTCGTACTACCCCAAGTTGATCATTGGTAGTACGTACTGTGATTACATGGGCGATTGGAAACATCCGACAGTGGGGCCCTGCGGATACATATAGTTTACGAATGTATTCAGGGTTGCAGATATAAAATAAAATTAAAGTACTGGCTGTGGTCCACTGGACTTTGCTTTTTTTTTAGAACAGGGTGGATGGCCTCCCCACACATTTGAAGTCCATGGCATTTTTTGAGATGGGGGTCTCACTCTGTCACCCAGGCTGGAATGCAGTGTTGTGATCACAGCTCACTGAAGCCTCTATTTCCTGGGCTCAAGCAATCCTCCTGCCTCAGGATCCCAAGTAGCTGGAACTGCAGGTGTGCACCAAATGCCAGGCTGAGGTGTTTTTGTTGTTGTTGTTGTTGTTGGTTGGTTGGTTGTTTTTTGCAGAGATGGAGGTCTATTTTGGCCAGGCTGGTCTCTGATTCCTGGCCTCAAGCAATCCTCTTGCCTGAGCCTCCCTAAGTGCTGGGATCACAGGCATGAGCCACTGCGCCTGGCTAACTTCTGAAGTCACTGCTTCAACAACTTTAAAACCATACCAATAGACTGAGGATTTCCAGAATTTTTTAAATTGAGAAGCAGATGGATTCATGAGACCGCTAACCCCAAATCCATCAGAACAAGAGTTAATCATATATGATTGAATTATCTGATGAGGGATTATTGTCGTTTTTTTAATATTGTTGATGTTGTTCTATGTTCTGGACATATAACGCAGCCTTGTCTTTCTTACATATCTCTAACCCATAACAATTGAGTAGATTTGGCATTCATAAACTGAAACAAAACATTTGCAAATTATCTTTTTCTCTCTGATACCCCCACCCTCTGTAGAATTCACAAATTTGAATTAGATACTCTATTTTTCATGGTAATATAGTGATCTATACAGGTTCAACAAGAACTTGCCCTCCTTTTAAACAGGATATATTAATAATTGGCAAATTTGGTTATGCAAATAAGGCCTTGTCTGAAATATCATATTTGAGAATGATGCTCACTTAATCAAGTATAAACCAGCTACAGTTAGAGAATTAAGGTTTAAACTAGAGAGCCCACTGAGGAAAACCGACTTAGTACCTGGCTTTCAGGGTCCCAGCTTTACAGGTGAGAAACGAAGGCCAGGACCTTTGAGATAGTTTGATAATCTCCAGAAGAAAGAATTGGCCCAAATTTTATATAGTGCAGGTGAAATCCAGTGAGAAAAGTTTCTTGAGTTTCCTTTATAGCCTCAGGATGAGCAAATAATAAGAGGCTTTTAAAAATCCAGTGTGAAAAATCCACAGCTAACATAAAATTCAATGGTGAAAGCTTGGAAGATTTTCCTTTAAGATCAGGAACAAGACACCTGCATTCAAACTAATATTGGAAGTTCTAGACAAAGCAATTACATGAATAAAAAGAATCATTCAAGTTATAAGGAAAGTAAAATTATTTCTGTTCACAGGTGACATTACCTAGTTTGTAGAAAAATTTAAGGATTCCACAAAAGAACTGTTCAAACTAATAAATTCAGCAATGTTGTAGGATACAAAACCAACACATAAAAATCAGTAGCATTTTTATACACTAACAATGAACAACCCAAAAAGGAAATTAAGAAAACAATTCCATTTGCAATAGCATCAAAAAGAATATAATAATTAGGAATAAACTTAACTAAGGAGGCAAAAGACATCTGCACTCAGAACTATAAAATGTCGATGAAAGAAAATTTAAAAGACAGAAATAAATGGAAATGTATTCTGTGTTCATGGATTGAAAGACTTAATATTGTTAAGATGTCAGTACTAATCAAAGTGATCTATAGATTCAATCACTATCAAAATCCCAATGATGCAATGATATTTTTTGCAGGAATAGAAAAATGCATCCTAAAATTCATATGGAATCTCAAGGGATACTGAATAACTAAAACAACCTTGAGAAAGAAGAACAAAGTTGGAGGTCTCACACTACCAGATTTTAAAACTTACCAAAACTCTACAGTAATCAAAATAGTATGGTGCTGGCATTAAAGACAGACAAATAAACTAATGAGATAGAATAGAGCCTAGAAATAAACTCTCACATATATGATAATTGATTTTTGACAAGGTTGCCAAGACCATTCCATGAGGGAAAGGACAGTCTTTTCAATGAATATGTGAGGAAAACTGAATATCCACATGTCAAAGAATGAAGTTAGATACTTCCCTTACACCGTATACAAAAATAAACTCAAAATAGATCAAAGCCCTAAGTGTAAATCTAAAACTATCAAACTTTTAGAAGAAAACATAGGGGGGAACCGTCATGCCATTAGATTTGGCAATGATTTCTTGAATAACAAAAGCACAGGCAACAAAAAATAGATAAATTGGATTTTATCAAAATAAAAACCTTCTGTGCATCAAAGGATACTATCAACATGGTGAAAATGCAGTCCATGCAATGGGAGAAAATATTTGCAAATCATATATCTCATAAGGGACTAATATTTAGAATATATAAAGAACTCCTACAACTCAACAATAAAAAAAAATCCAATTAAAAACTCGGCAAAGGACCTGAATGACTATTACTCCAAAGGAGATATACAGATTGCCAATAAGTACACGAAAAGATGCTCAACACCACTAATTAGTAAGGAAATGCAAACCAAACCACACAATGAGATACCACTTCACATCCATTAGGATGGCTACTATATGAGAAAAAACAAAAATAAAAACAGAAAATAACAAGTATTGGCAAGGATGCAAAGAAACTGGAACCCTTGTGCATTGTTGATGGAAATGTAGAATGGTACAGCCACTGTGGAAAATAGCACGGCAATTTCTCAAAAAATTAAACATATAATTAATATATGATCCATTAATTCCACTTTAAGTACATACCCAAAAGAATTGAAAACAGGAGCGTGAATAGATATTGTATGCCAATGGTCAATAACAGCATTATTCACAATAGCCAAAAGATGGAAACAACCCAAGTGTCCACCAAGGGATGAATAAATAAATAAAATGTGATATAGACATACAGTGGAATATTATTTAACCTTAGAAAGGAATAGAATTCTGATACATGCTATAACATCGATGAACCTTGAAGACATTATGCTAAGTGACATAAGTCAGACACAAAAAACAAATATTGTATGATTCCATTTATATGGGGTACCTAGAATAGTCAAATTCATAGAGACAGAAAGTAGAATGGTGGCTACCAGGGACTGGGGTTGTGGGGGGAATGGGAGGTTGTCGTTTAATGGGTACAGCTTCAGTTTGGGAAGATGAAAAAGTCTGGAGACAGATGGTGATAACGGTTGCACAACAATGTGAATATATTTAATGTCACTAAACTGTACACCAAAAATTATTTATATGGTAAATTTTATGTTATATATATTTTTTAATACAGTAAAAAAGTCCAATGTGATCATCATTATGAAAACTCTTAGCAATGAATACTAAAGAAGGACTATATAGTAAATTAGGATTTCTGCTGTATCCGTGTAAATAAACAAGCCAAATCTAATGAGTTCAGCCTTATTTTGTGGTCAAGAATAACCATACTTTGAAATTAATGTTTATCAAAAATAGAAAAGCTATAGGAAAAAATGTTCTTCAAAGGAAAATTGTGTGTTATCTATAGTACACCCTTCTGGGTTGTTTGATTCTGATTCTATAGGAGCAATTTTAAAGCTCTGTACGCTTTTAGTTACTTAAAGAAATGGAAATAATTCCAGTCTATAAATATGCAAATGAATTTTGTATGGTGAAAGTATGGAAAAGAATGGCCTTCCTCTCTTGTGGCAAAACCCCTGAGAAAGAGGCTATTTTCAGTTTAAAAATAATGAAGCTTTACAATTTCATGTAGTCATATCTGTTAATATTTATTATATTAAATAGTAAAACAGAAATTTTTAATATATTTATATTAATTCATTTTAAACTTACAATAAAATATCCATTACATCCTGTAAACTTACATTGTAAATTTATATGAAAAATGTGTTTTCTAAAACAAGTCGTAAGGAGATGGACTTTTTTATTTGAAAATCTCTTTAATATTTATTCTAATGGAAGTCTGCTGAATTCTTATATATGTTCCTGCAATTAATCTGTTGGATATAATATATAAGGTATCTCTGGAAAATTTCAGCATATATTTGTGAGGGAATGAGAATGAAAAATGTAGATAACATCTTACAGGTCCGATGAATGGCTGACCTACAAAAATAACTAAAAGAACTGACTCATTAGTAAAGTGGTATAATGCAACATTATTAAGTATAACCCACTATTTTATTTTTTAAACAAATTGGACCATAGATACATTAAACTAAAATTGATAATATTTAGTTTGTTGTAACAAAAAAAGAAGATGTTTTAAAATTAGCAGGACATCACACTTCAAGAACTAAAGTAGATTCAACGTTACTGGAACATGGTTCTTACCTTTGGTTTTGAATACAGTGTGCTTGTGGATATCCCCAGACAGCATCGGGCTCGGGTGATCTGGATGTCTCTGGAGGTGATAGTGGAGCACTCAGTGTAGCAACTAGGCAGCCAGCCTTGGTGGTGATGTGCTCAAAGATGTCGATAAGAAAATCATTCATGATGCCCAAGGAATTTAATGTAGTGCTGATATAAGGATGAAATTGCTTCAGAACCCTGTAAACATAGATGTAAATATAGAGTTACTCAACTGTCTCCGCAGCATCTCTTTTCACATCTTCCCCTTCTGTGTTTTGGAAATGACTTTCTTAAAGCCCTTTATGTTAAAGTAAGATTTAGAAGGATGCTCAGCCATGACAGACATTGTTTTCAGTACCTTGGAATGAAAGAGATACTGGTTGGTGATAGGGTGGTGCCCATGTATAGGCCCTGTATTCAAATGAAGTACTGGGTACACACACAATTTCTAATTAGATGAAATGTAATTCGAGGAAACCCTGCCAATAAACCACACAATGGCAAATATAATTCGATAGTTCTATGTGGTACAGTCCAATGAGAAGGCATGAAATGGTCAGTCTCACTGGAAGCTTCCTGTAGGCTCCACCAAGAGCACTTTGAAGATACCATCTACAGCAGCTAAACTGTAACAATTTCAGCTTCAACTTGTTGAGTGATTCTGATCTCCATAACCCAGGTCCGTGATGCCAGAGGAATGATGCTGGCCATGTTTGGGCTATTTGTCCACTAACCCAGAATCTAATGTCACCTTAGGCTAAGCCACTGTGGCTTGAGCAAGAATCCTCCCACATGGGAGAGGAGCTTGTGGAAAACAAGAGATCTGGCTAACAAACCACTGCCTCTAATTCTGATCAAAAACCTCAGTGACTCAAGGAAAGATGACAAAACTATGGTCTCCAAACAACACACAAAAAACCAGGAATATTTATTAACATGTAAAATATTCATAAGCATTAAACAAGTTAAAAATCACTTTCTTGACAATACTTAAGTCCTAGAAACATACTTTAAACTGTATAATTTGTGGATAAATATCAGTGTTCTTGGCTGAAAAAAGTTACTAAACATCTAACTAACCTCCTTAGGGAAAAGAGAGAAATAATGTAGGAAATATTATTCAATGGAAATAATATCTCTTTCAAATATCTATGATAATACAACTGAAAATATGATTGAATGCATAAATTTGTGGAAAACATAAATTACAGAAACTAAACCCACTCTCCTCCCCACAAAAGAGATTTAAGGACTAAGAAGAATGGAAGAAATCGAGGTCACCAATGAGCTACCATCCCAAAAGGCCAGGCTTCCAAAAGTATTTCATGTCAAACCACTAAGGAACAGGTGTTTTTTTCTCTTAATGGAATAGTGTCAGATTATGAAGGGAAAAAATATCATTTTGATGTAAAGAAAATATGCTAAAAGGAGTTCTGACCAGTGACATTTATAAACAAGAATATAAAATCCTACATAAAATATTAGCAATTATATCTGGCAACATAGTTAATGATGAACACAAAGGGACAAAGCAGGGTTCATCCAAAAATATAAAGACGTTCCAGTAAAATACAAGTATGATTCACCTTATGATGTTAAAGGAAAAAAGGGTAATCTTCAGTTAATCTCAGTACATGATTTAACTTCCTTTGCTAATATAATGAGTTATACAATGTTTGTTTCATGGCAAATACTAGCATTACCATCATTAGAGTCAGGATTCAGAAAAATTGAGCCCTCTCATCAAGACTGTTATTTATCATGATTTGGTGTATTAGAAAAAATCTTATAAAAGGACTTAAAAAAGGATTTTACTGCAGAGGAGACCTGGAAAAACTACAATAAAATCATCTGCAAGTAAACTGCCCAAAGAGGCACCACATGATTGACTTACACATTTGGAACGACATTTTGGAAAACCAAGGCTCTTTTCAGAGCCATGTGTGGCTTGAAAAGAAAGGCTTTCTCTTTCAGAGAAAGAGCTGTGGACATATTTGTAAAAAAAACATTTCATTAAGTCACTTAATTTATATCATGCTGCTTCAAAATGCCAGTGTCTGTCAGCATGCCATACAAATGTTTTACCAAAATTATTCTAGCATATTGGTCTCATATACATTGTATTATGCAAAAAGGCATTTTTAATATATCATATCCATGAAGACAGTTATAGTGTTTTTGCCATTTTCCTCTTGTAAATTCAGAAAGTAAATAGAAACATTAGTGAAAGAACATTAAAAATGCGTTATAATTTGGCTGAGAGTGCAGGGGTGATTGAGACAGATGAATCTGGTAAGTAGAGAAAAAAACAGGGCTTGATGCTGAAAGGCTAGATGGGGCAATGAGTACATCTGATTATTAACCTGATGGGTGCACGAACAAGGAGATTAAGTGAACAAGAGTGCTCTAATTCTTTGTTAAAAAAAAAAAAAAGACTACGGGAAACAGCTTTAACTGCTGTAAATAATGTACTATAAGCAGGACTCCTGGGGAAACAGTGTTACTGGAATAAAAATATCACAAGCTTTTTTTGAATCCACGTTAATACATAATGAAAACAAACAAAAAGCACAGAAATATATATCAAAAACTTCAAGAAACAATCCAATCCCCTTGCCAAGCTCTCTGGACTCTGAAATTTTTATTCTATTTCATTGAGGTTTATTCAATTCTGTTCTTTCCCAGTCAAAAGTCTTTTTAAAAATCACAAATCTTAATGAGCTGCAATTATGCAAGATTTGGATGATGTGAGCATTCAGTGAGTGCAGCTCATACCCCACTCTCTGCTGTGTCAGCCAATGTAGGACCCGCAGCCCCTGAGCTATTGGCCCAGAGTATGGGGAAGTGACCCTGCTGAACCAATAAGAGCCTTCCTGGGATGTTCAGTCTTGAATGTTGAAGAGGAAACTGGTGTGGCTCTTTGCTTAGGTTTGGTTGCTTTATTGTCTAATCTTTTGCTTCCATTCATGGAGATTTAAGGATATAAATTCAGGGCTAGTAGTCGTGGACATAATTCTTGCCTCACACATCATGTTAGTCCATTTATGCTGCTAAATACCTGAGATTGGGTAATTTATAAGGAACAGAAAGTTATTTCTCACAATTCAGGGGGCACCAGCAAGTTTGGTATCTAGTTGAGGGATCAGGTTCTGCTTCCAAGAAAGCATCTTGTTGCTGCATCCTCATTTGGAGGAAAGTGTAGGGACGAAAGGGGCCTAGGCAGTTCCCTCCAGCCCTTTTATAAAGTCGCTTATCCTGTTCATGAGGGCAGAGCCCTCATAGCCTAATCACCTGCTAGGGCCTCCACCTCTTAATACCATTACATTGGATATTAAGTTTCGACATGAATTTTGGAGTAGACGCAAACATTCAAACCATAGCATATGGCAACTGATTAAGAAAAATAATGTCACACACACACACACACACACACACACACAAGCTAAATGAATGTTATCTTATTTTTTTCACTTCCAAGCACATATGCCTGAAAATAAAACCCACGACGTCAACTCAGAAGGATGAGATCCCAGCTCCCAGTGCAGCCACCAATACAATGGGTTTGGTCCTTATTCCTGGCCCCTTACTGCCCACCTTCTCTTTGATCCTGGCCTGTTACTACTGGACAAGAGGAGAATAAGGATGGTGTGAGGAGGAGAAAGTTTGAAAAAGTAGCCACTCTTTCCCTTTATTTTGAGGGACTTTAAAAACAAATCTAGGGTCATAGGCAGGTTTTGCCCAGTCCCTGAGGAGGACATTAGGGGAACATGAGAGCACCCAGACTTCTCTTTAGTGGGTCATCAGTCCAGTCCTTGCATGCTGACCTGTGGTCCATCTGAGAGATGTGATAGGCCAGCCCTGCCCCTCACGGCTTCTACCATTACTAAGTAATACCAAAACCCATCCATAATTTAACTACCTCTGCTTCCAAGATCGTCCCACACAGAGGTAAGTGCGAACAACATCAGCCTTTGGAGGTTGAAACTAGGCAGGGACCATATGGCTTTGGGTGGACCTGATACTTGACCAGATATTTTGTCATGCACTATCAGCAATCTTGTTTTAAGAATAAATAATATGCATAGTCATTGCACTTGTTAAAATAATTGTGAATAGTGAATTCTGTCCCTTCTAGTAACTGAGAGTCCTTTCCCAGATGGGATCTTCCCACAGAGCTGAAGGACCTTACCCATGGCCGGGTAGGTTTTGGGTTAGGTCTGACACCAGAACCCAGGATGATCTCCTGAATTTCACTCCAGCGTCTGCTCTATCAGACATGGCATTAGACTGAGTGTTTGAGCCTATCAGAGACTCATAGAAACTGTGCCCCTCTACATTAACCTGCTTGACAAGAAATACGTTAAAATAAAATCTAAATGCTATGTTGATTTGCTTGATCTCCCTCAATATTCACTTGGGTAATTAATTCAAATTAAAATGTGTAAGCACATTTTTCTCTTAACAAACTCCAACAACTGGGGATATCAGCAATCATGCTGAATTCCAGGGGCTGCTTCTGCTTTTCACTGTCTTTGAATTTCTTCTTGTGGCCTCAAACCTGAACCCATTTTCAACTCCATAGGTATGTGGCTTTGTAGACAGGAGGGTGATAGAGGGATTACAATGGAAGTATCAGTGCTATATATGTGTTTTTATCCCATGTTGCTTGAAGCTGTAATTTGTTCATTTTCATTTCTGTGTTGTAATGCATTGTAGGACTATAACACTATTCTTATGTTGATGAACATTTGCATTGCTTTATGTTTTGTACTTAATGATCAATCTTGTTCACATCTTTTGGTGGACATAAAAACTCATTTCTGTTGCATATATACCAGGAGTGCAACTGCTGAGTCAGAGCATACATGAATGTTTAACCTTAGTAAATACTGACAGTTTTTCAAAGTGCTTTTTCAATTCATAGTTCCAGCCAGAATGTATATGTGGGTTCTCGTTGCTCTGTATCCTTACCAACTCTCCACATTATTTGTCTTTCAACTATTATACTCCCATTTCACAGATGGGCTAACCCCTGGGCCTAGAAGAGGTTACTTTTCTAAAGTAAATACTAAGTCTGAATTCTATATTCTTTCCACTGTGCCAGGTTATCAACTTTTAGATATGAGTTTCCAGTACTCAAGTATTGGTTGTTCCAAAATTACACAGGATAATACTTTTGTAACTTTAAAATTATATGT